AATCTATAGCAACAGACGTACATAAAACATTGCGGATTAGAGCCACAGGAGAAGGGCAATCTATAGGAACACGCGTAAAACACCAAGGACTCGTGCCCCAGGAGAGGCCCAATATATAGAACATACGTAAAACATGTAGGATTGTGTACACAGGAGAAGGACAATCTATAGAAACATACGTATAACATCAAAGAATCGTGCTCCAGGTGAGGCCCAATCGATAGGAGCATACGTAAAACACATGGGATTGGAGCCACTCCTGTTGCCTTCTGAGGCCTCCTGCTCCTGGGGCCTCTCGGGGCCTCCTGTTGCCTTCCGAGGCCTCCTGGCGCTTCCTGTTGCCTCCTGGGGCCTCCTGTGGTTTCCTGAGGCCTTCTGGAGCTTCCTGGGGCCTCCTGGAGCCTCTTGGGACATCCTGTAGCCTCTTGAGTCTTTCTGTGGCCTCCTGATGCCTCCTGGGACCTCATGTGGTCTCCTGGGGCCTCCTGGAGCCTGTGGGAGCCTCCTGTGGCATCCTGAGAAGAATCTGCGCCCACGAGCCTGGCCACCAAAACAAGCAAACCGCTCGAGACATCCTCAAAATCTGGCCCACCTGGGAGGTCAAAATGAGCGCCTCGCTCGAGACATCCTCCAAATCTGCTCCGAAAACGAAAGATGCTGGCACAGAAAACAGGCAAACCGCTCGAGACATCCCCACAAAATTCCGCGAACGGGACCCCGTGAAATACCCCCCCGCCGCCCCCCTTAGAGTGCTGAGACGAGCGAATCGCCTGAGACATCCTCCAAATCTGCTCCGAAAACGAAACATGTTGGATCAGAAAATGGCCAAACCGCCTGAGACATCCCCACAAAATTCCGCGAACGGGACCCCGTGAAATACCCCCCCGCCGCCCCCCTTAGATTGCTGAGACGAGCGAATCGCCTGAGTCTGAGTGATGACTGAGTCTGAGTGATGAGAGAGCATGAGTGAGTCTGAGTGATGAGTGAATCTGAGTGGTGAGTCTGAGTGATGAGTGGTGAGTGATGGGTGTGGTGTTCTGTCCTGTTCTGTGTCCTTCCGGCGCGGTCCGCCAATAACAAGAACCCCATCTTTGGATATGGGGAAAAAAAGGTGCTGACGGCCCCCCCAGACCACCCCCGACGTCATGATGTTTTTCATAACCTCGACGCCCAGAGGTCTCGGAAGGCGCGAGGGCCCGGAGAAGCCCCGCCGCCTCCGCGAAGGCCCGCCCCCTCGGAGGAGGCGAGGGTGCCCACGAGTCCTACCCTGCCCTCGCTCTCCCCTTCTTGGGGCCTCCTGGGAGGCCCTCGCCGCCACCGCCGGATGCTCCTCGGAAGCCTGGTCGGAACGCGCCCAGGGAGAGGTCCAGAGAGTAGCGGCAGCGGTACCTCTTGGGTGGCCCCCCCCCCAGAAGGCGCGAGGGCTTCTGAGAAGCCCAGCCGCCTTTGAGAAGGCCCGCCCCCTCTTCTCATCGAGGATGAAGGACACCGTAGCGCTAATAACAGAGTGAAGACGTGACCTCACTGAGGTCCCCGTCGTTGCGTTAGGGAAACTACTTCTGGGCCGTTTGGTTTGAGCAATTCCAGGAAAAGACCTATCCCTGATGAGTTTGGCCCTCCCAACTTGGGCCCCCTCCCAAAGGGTTGGGGGGTCCTTTGATCGCTGATCATCTTCTGCCCTCCCACCCCTCTCTGAGGTCCTGGCGTCTCAGTGCTTTCGAGCCGGGCGACCGCGCGCTCCTCTGCGGGCCCGGGGGAGCTTCGCAGGCCGGCCCGGCTCGACGAGCGACGCGCCGTCCGAAGTCTCCACTGGCGGTGCGGTGTTCGGCGGGGCTGGCCGTCGCGCGTGGTGCCGTCGCAGCGGGTGCTGCGCCAGCGCCCCGCCCTGGCCCGCCTCAGGCTCTCCTCCTCCTCCTCCTCCTCTTCCTCCTCCTCCTCCTCCTCCTCCTCCTCCTCCTCCTCCTCCTCCCCACCCTCCTCCTCCTCCTCCTCCTCCTCCTCCTCCTCCTCCTCCTCCTCCTCCTCCTCCTCCTCCTCCTCCTCCTCCTCCTCCTCCTCCTCCTCCCCTCCTCCCCCTCCCCCCTCCTCCTCCTCCTCCTCCCCTCCCCCCCTCCTCCCCCCCCTCCCCTCCTCCTCCTCCTCCTCCTCCTCCTCCTCCTCCTCCTCCTCTCCTCCTCCTCCTCCTCCTCCTCCCTCCTCCTCCTCCTCCTCCCCTCCTCCTCCTCCTCCTCCTCCGAGGATGTTTTGGGAACTGTTGAGGTTTGCACGACATAGTCTTGGGGCACTCCTGGCTGAGACACGCCAGAAGGCGATGACAATCTCAGGGAGTCGCCCTCAAAAACAAGGGGATCCCTAAGATTGGCACCGTGACGAGGAGGTGCCCAGCATAGGGATAGGGATGTGTACCAGGCTGGTGGCCAGAGCTCGGGAGCAGGCGGTGGCGCGGCGGCCGGGCCTGCGGCTTGCCGTCTGGCCCACCAGAGAGTGGTTTGAGAACTGTTGAGGTTTGCACGACATAGTCTTGGGGCACTTCTGGCTGAGACTCGCCAGAAGGCGGTGACAATCTTAGGGATTCGCCCTCAAAAAAAAATGGGGATCCCTAAGACTGGCATCGTGATGAGGAGGTGCGCAGCACAGGGACAGGGATGTGCTCCAGGCTGGTAGCCAGAGCTCGGGAGCAGGCGGTGGCGCGGCGGCCGGGCTTGCGGCCTGCCGTCTGGCCCACCAGAGAGTGGTTTGAGAACAGCTGAGGTTTGCACGAAATAGTCTTAAGTCGGGCCTGTCCCCCTACAGGGGAATTTTCGACGAAAAATAAAAGATACACCAAAAATGAAAAACAAAAAAAAGCACAGTCCAAAAATAGTCTGAGGACTATGTTTGGAGTATTGTTTGACGTTTGTGGGGTATTTTGTTTTAGTATTTTGCATTTTTCGTTGAAAATCCCCCTGTATGGGGGGTGGACACGCCCGACATAAAAATAGTCTTGGCACACTTCTGGCTGAGACCGCCTTGGTTTCAAACACCGGCCTTGTGTTCCAAGAATACCTGGTCCTGAGAACACCTTCCTTGGTTCTGAGAACATGGCGTGGTAGCCCCACAGGAATGCCAGGGCGGTCGGTTCCTGCTCAAAGGGAGCGCCTCCCCAAACCAGACTCCCTCCTGAGCCTCGATTCCTGGACAAAGAAAGACCCTCCCCCAAACCAGAGTCCCTCCTGAGCCCCAAGGGGGTCTCTGACTGCACGATAGTCGGCCCGACGTATAAGGTCGAGGTCGGTTCGAGGAGGGTACCCGAATGCTCTTCGTGTGTGTTGGATGTTCTTGTGCAACTGGGAGAGAGTACCCGAATGTTCTTCAGTTTATGCCGGCGGAGGTCGAATGTCTTCGGGAAGAGCGTGTTCTGCCGCTGCTGACAGAAAAACGGGGGAGGTAATTGATGGTTTCCAACCCGTCCCCCCCCCTCGAAAATCGGGGGAATCACTACCGGTTCGAACCCCCCCCCCTCCCCCCCCCGGGTCCATCATGAAAGGGGACGGGGGTCATTACCGGTTCGACCCCCCCCCGTCGGGACAGTAGTTGGGGCGGTGGTGGGGATGGTGGTGGGTAGTGGGGGCAGTGGGGAGAGTGGTGGGGACACTGGGGACAGTGGGACAGTGGTGGGGACAGTGGAAACAGTGGGACAGCACAGTGGGACAGTGGTTGGGACAATGGGACAGTGGTGGGGACGATCGGGACAGTGGGGAGAGTGGGACCGTGGTGGAGACAGAGGTGGGGACAGCGGGGACAGTGAGACACTGGTGGCGGCACTGGTTGGGACAGTGGGAACAGTGGTGGGAACAGTAGGGACAGTGGGACAGTGGTGGGGACAGTGGGGACAGTGGTGGGGGCGGTGGTGGTGGGGACAGTGGTGTGGGGGCAGTGGAACAGTGGTGGGGGCAGTGGGGACAGTGGGACAGTGGTGGGACGGTGGTGGTGGGGACAGTGGTGTGGGGACAGTGGGACAGTGTTGGGACACTGGTGGGGACAGTGGGTCTGTGGTGGGGACGGTGGTGGTGGGGACAGTGGTGACGGCGGGACAGTGGTGAGGGCGGTGGTGAGGACGATGGTGGGACAATGGGACAGTGGCACAGTGGGAACAGTGGTGGGGACAGTGGGACAGTGGTGGGGACAGTGGGACAGCTCAGTGGGACAGTGGTGCGGACAGTGCGGACAGTGGGACAGTGGTGGGGACAGTGGGGACAGTGGGACAGTGGTGGGGACAGTGGGGACAGTGGGACAGTGGTGGGGACAGTGGGGAAAGTGGGGAGAGTGGGACCGTGGTGGGGACAGAGATGGGGACAGTGGGGACAGTGAGAAACTGGTGGGGGCACTGGTTGGGACAGTGGGGACAGTGGGACAGTGGTGGGGACACTGTTGGTGGGAACAGTGGCGAGCGCCGTGGTGAGGACGGTGGTTGGGCCCGGGAGTCGTTTGCTGGCGGCGAGGGGGGGGGGGTCGAACCCGGGGGGGGGTCGAACCGGCCGGTAGTGACCCCCCCCCCGCGTTTTCTGGAGGGGGTTAGGGAGGGGAGTTTTGCCGAGGGAAGGGAAGGGGGGTGGGTTCGAGCAGGGGGGGGGGATTTCGGAATAGGGGGGGATCCTCGGGTTCCAAAGGAAGAGGGGTGGAATTTGTCAGAGTAAAGCAGCGGTGGATCATGCTCTCTCCCTCTCTCTGTTCTTGAAGGATGTTTTTCTGTACTAGGTCCGAGTGTAATTGTACACTCCAAGATGTCCAAGTTCCCTAAGAGTTCCAAGGATGCCTCATGTTCCGCACGAGCTCCAGAAACCAGGGCCGCGAGATACTGTGGAAATCCAGGAGCGCAGCCTGAGCCAGTCGTTTTATGACACCATGCTCGTCCTCTGTACGCCGAGTGCGGGTGAGGAGGAGGAGGAGGAGGAGGAGGCGGAGAAGGTGGAGAGGAAGGGGACGGGGGAGGAGGAGGGAGAGGGAGTGCAGCAGGGGAGGAGCCGTGTCCATGCCCGCGCCCCCGCCCATGGGCGCCGGCATGCCCATGTGCGCCCCGCCCGCCCTGCCGGGGGGGCAGCCGCTGCGGCGGCGCTGGCGGCGGCGGGCCGTGGAAGACGGGAGGGCAGGGACTGGCGGGAAGCGAAGGAGGAGCCTCCCGGCGCCGCCTCCTCTTGCCCCCTCTTCCCCCCGCTGCTGCCACCTCGTGGGCAAACTGCCCGTTTGGAGATGCTGCTGTGCACTTATGGAGGAAGAGGATTCGGACGCGTGGAGGGCTCCTGCTGACAAGCACGCGCCCATGGAGTGTTACTTGCAGGCGTAAGGGCCACCCCTGTTTCACGCTCCCCCTGCCTCTCCCGTCTCATCTCGCATAGTGGCACAACATGTGCTCATTGTGTGTAAACGTCACGTCTCTGCCACGCACGGGTGCGTTCTGCCGGTTCCGATGTGTGAACCCTCAATAGTTCGGGGGCCCTGGTCTATAGCTCCCCCCCAGACTACATGTATCCCTCCCTTGCACACTACAGGTACGCGATTCGGAGGCATGAGGTGCCCAGATTCTTAATAGCGAGCCTCACCGCAGCGCTTCCAATGATTGGAGCGCAAAGAAGTGCGAGCGCGCCCTGCAGGTTTGGCCCTACGGAGCACGGGGGGAGGGGGAAAACTACGACGAGGATGACCAGGCTCGAGGGGACGATTATTCCTGCTTTAGTTTTAGCGGATACAAGAGCTTCTTCCGCGCTGGTGGGCCGAATATCCTTGTCGTCGTCGTCGTCGTCGCTGTCGGCAAAAATGCGTGCAACGCACACTGCAGTGTTTTTTTTTCTGCAGTTCGCAGTATTTTTCTCTTCTAAGACTTGCTTGCGCTGGCGTGCGGACGCACACGGAAGTGCTCTTCACTGCCTGGCGACCCCACCGTTTCGCTAGCTGGAGGGTCTGCAAAACAAAGTGCACAAGTCATATGTTCCAGTGTGGGTCTTGCGTGTCGGAGTTTTCGGTCGTAGAACCGTGATGTGATGCGAGGCCTGCCAAACAGATGCTCGCCGAATTTGAGCCATGGAGAGGAAGTATGGGGGAGAGGCAGCCCAGAGGATTGGTGGTATTGTTTGTGTTTGCATATACTGTCCCTTCGATCGACGCTCTCCTGATGCCCCGCAAGGTACGGGATGTATCCTACCATGGGCTTCCCGGCCTACGGTGCGACGTCCTTTTCTATCCAGATCAGTTGCTTCATTTCTCGGCGTCTGTCGTCGTTGCATGAGTCATTGACAGGACGAGAGGGGCGAAATTTGAGAGAGGAGGGACCATGGTGGACGACAGAGGAGGAGGAGGAGGAGGAGGAGGAGGAGGAGGAGGAGGAGGAGGAGGAGGAGGAGGGGGAGGAGGAGGAGGAGGAGGAGGAGGAGGACTGAACGGAGGAGTGGGAGCAGCAGGCGGAGGTGAGGAGGTTGAGGAGGTTGAGGAGGAGGAGGAGGAGGAGGAGGAGGAGGAGGAAGAATAAGAAGAGGAAGAGAAATGATGAGGACGAGGGGAGGCGGACGGGAAGGGTGAGGAGCAGGAGAGGGGGAGTAGGACGAAGGGGAGGGGGACGGGACGGGGGAGGTAGAAGACGAAGGGGAAGAGGCGGGACGGGGGAGGGGGAGAACGAGGGGGACGGGGACGTGAAGGGGGAGGAGGAGGAGGACGAGGGAGAGGGGGGCGGGAAGGGTGAGGAGGAAGAAGAGGGAGGCGAGGGAGGGAGGGACAGAGCGATGGAGGGACTGAGGGGACAGAAGGGGAAGCTGAAGGGCCAGCCAGCGTCACAGGTGTGCAGGCCACGCACCCCTCGATGCTCGGGGTTTCGTAGAGGGGCTGGTCATCCCAAGGTGAGGTTCCAAGATCTCCAACGATGTACGTTTTCAATCCCGACGTCTTTCCTCGATTTCGCCCTCTGGGGCCCGTTATCGGGCCCGGGGACCCTCAAAAACGGATCTGGGACGAACAATTGCCCACAAGGAAGGGGCCGGGACCCCTGGAGCCGCGGACGGAACGAATCACGCCGCCAAAGGTCGAGGCAGAAGAGCGAGCCCAGCTGGGTGCTCACCCTTCCTCCTTGGGCAATTTCGGCAATTTTTCCTCTGACACCACCTCTGCCCTTACAGTCGGGGCCCTGAGGAAGGAACCCTTTTCGTTGGGGAGGGGCTCCGCGTTCCTAGACTGTTTCACAGCTTGCATCAGGCTTTCCTGATGTTTTCGATCGGAAATCGAAGGTTAACTTATGGAGAAAAGGGGCCTCGTCTTTTATTTAGGGCTCCTTAGGTCAAGCCCCCGACTGTAGTCCCTCCTTGACGCCCCCCCGCGCTGCCTCGCGAACGACGGCGCGGGTTCCACGGCGGACGTGTGGGCTGTGCTGCACCCCGCGCCAGTCCAGGCGCGGGGCCGTAGGCCTCGCGCGAGGCGCGAGCAGCTGCCAGAGCCCCCAGCGCTGGAAGCCCGAAGAGGCAAGAGCGCCGTGGAACGCTGGAATTTCTCTTCGTCGCGACCAGGGAAAATCCATGATTTGGTCATCTAGGGGTCGTCAAGAGGGCCTGAGGAGGGCCCCAGACGGCCCAAGAGGGTCCAAGATGACCCTCAAGAGTCTTGGGGTCATCTTGGAGACCCCTATCGAGGCGTCTTGGGCGCCTCTTGGGCCGTCTGGGTACCAGCATCGCGCGATCTGCTGCCATACCTCCCGCCGGGTGGATCCCGAGAGCCGCTTGGGGACCGGAGCGGGCGCCGCTAAGGCACGCAACCGGTGGGCTCTTGAGACAGAGAAGCCTCCAGCTGGTCCTCTTTCGCCCACCCTCCCGGGGAGCCTGCGGGCCGCTTCGGGACCACCTGCGGGCGCGGGCTCCTCCACCGCGCCACGGGACGGCGCGCAGGCCGCGAGCCGGCGCGCACGAGCGCAGCGCGGCGCTCGCCACGGGGGCCAGCCCGCAGGGGCGCTGGCTGCGCGAGCGCGCGCCCAGCGCCACGGGCGCCTTCGGAGGCACGTCCCTCTGCAGCGCGCCAGACGCTGCAACTGAAGCTGCGCGCCCGACCTCGCGCTGCAGCGCGAGCCGCCGCGCCGCGCGAGGCGGGGCGCGCCGTGCGGGCTCACCCGTGCGCCGCGGGCGCCCTCGGCGGCTGCCCCACGGCAGTGCAGGCCCGACGCGGCGGCGGCGCGCGCGCACGGCCTCGCGCTCGGCCGAGCCAGCGCGCAGCGCTGGGCAGGGGGCGGGGCTCCTGGCAGAGTGCTGTGCCGCGCGCCCGGGGCCGCGGGCGCCTCCGGCGGCACGCCCCACGGCGGCGCAGGACGGACGCGGCAGCAGCTCTGGGAAAGGGCCTTGCAGCAGGACCGCGGAGGTGGACTGCACCGAGGAGACGCCGACGTCGCGGGCACCGTTCACGAGCTCACGAAGAGGCCGAAGGAGGGGCAGCACGACGCGTGGGTCCGGAACGTCTGCGCCACGCCGGGGTCGCAGTGGCCGAGGGCCAGGCTCGACGGGCGGGCCGCGACGTCTCCGAGATGCGCCCCAGGTGCGGCGAGCAGCACGAGATCCCTGGCTCTGCCCGTGCAGTACCGGCCACGAGGACATGGGCGACAGTTCCGGGTTGATGCCGTCAGCGCTTGCGTCTGTGGCCCGTGAGTCGCCGTGCCCGCGATCCTGCTCCGATTATGGGAGGGGCGGGCGGATCGCGTGGGCGGGGCAGCACGTCGGAGGAACGCGGGGCCAGCGTGGTCTCCTGGGTCCTGTGGCCCCTGCAGGTCGGCTCCCCGCGGGCGTCGCGTCGGGTCGGCCCTCGCGGCGCCGCCCAAGGGGGGGGAGGCGGCAGCCGGAGTCGGATTCCTGCGGCCGGCGGCTGCGCGCCGGCAAGTGGCCCGAGGCAGGCAGCGCCCATGGCTGAGCCCCATGCTTCCGCGACGGCCCCCAGGGGCCGCGGCTGCCCCCCCCCCCCCGCCGACAACTACAGTCGTCGGGGGCGGACAGAACCCCCAACAGTGACACGTCGATTAGTGAATTGTCCGTTTCCGCTTCTCGAGATGGCGCCGCGGCCGTTATTTTCCAGGCCTGCGCCCGCCAGGTTTGGGCCTCAGGTCGTTTTCACTAAACCACGTTTTACTAAAGGGGGTTCTGTCCATCCCCGAAGTCGGGGCGCTGAAGAAGGGACCCTTTTCGTTGGGGAGGGGCTCGGTGGTCCTTGCTTGTTGTGCGGTTTCCCCTGGGTTTCCCTGAGGTTTTTCCATGGGAAGTCGAAGTTCAACTTCTGGGAGAGAGGGGCCTCGTTCCTCATTTAGGGTTCCTTAGGTCAACGCCCCGACTGTACGTGGATAGATGAGCAAGCATACCCATCGGCCGTTGAAATTAGGCTTCTCTGGATGCCCAGATTCCGATCTACTTTAAGGTGCCTCCCCACTTCAACGATCGAGTGACTTCCCCTTTTCCGTCCTCTTTCGGGGGCGGGCGGATACCCAGTCTTTTTTCAACGCCTTCCTACTTCATGTTTCTACCTAGTTCTTCCGACCAGTGGGTAAGCACGCATGACACTTATGATGTTGCCGTCATGCCTGCTCTCTCCCGCTCCCCGTGCAGAGCGAGACGACATTTTTACATCCAGCTGCGAACGTTCGGGCCCGCACTCGCGATTTGAGCACCTGCTGCTATGGCCACGGTGCGGCCTGAGTTTGCAGCATCTCTGCGATGGCGCCATTCGTTGCGGACCACGTCCCTTTTCCTCGCAGTCATGGCAGTCATGGCAGTCAGGGCGAGCCTGGCGCCCAGACACAGGACCTCCTCCCTCTTTCTTTTCGCCGCGCCAGGGTCAGGGCGAGCCTGGCGCCCAGACCCTGGCGCGACGAAAAAAGAGAGGTCCTGCTCGAGATGACAGAGCGACCTTACGCAGTGACTTACGCGGGCCACCAGCGCGGCACGCCACAATGGAGACGTGGGCGCTTACGCGCTAGCGTACGCGGGCAGCTCGCGCGCCACTGTCGGCGCAGGCGACCCCGTTTTTGCGTGTTGTACACAGTTCTTTTTGCAGGTTGCTTGGCAAGACGGTCACGCTTGACCCGCGACATCTGTCGGCAGAGCTTGTGGGGTGGCTTGCGCGGGCCGCGATAAGAGCGAGCCCCCGCGCGCCAGAGGCCACCCGCACACAAGACCCAGGCCTGCACCGTGAATGCTGTCGCGCATGTCTCCCGGTCCCTTGCGCCAGCCAGCTGGGCTGAGTGGCTGCACGCGACGCACCCTCACCCTGCCGCGCTCATTTGCGACGCACTCCCGGTGCCCCTCTTCCCGTTCTCTCCCCCCCTCGTTGCCTTGGCATCGCTCGGACGTGCGCATTTTTTCTCGGCGAGGACCATCGAGGAGCATCCCTGATCATGTGGCGAAAAAAAAACACGCACGAAACCGGAACAAAAACACAGGGAATGGACGTCCGAGCGATGGACAGCTGCACTTCTTCCTATCCCGTCTCTCCGTCGCTACCCCCCGCCGCGCGCAGTGCGGGCGAAGCGGCCTCTCCCGCGCCGCGCCGCGCCGCGCCGCGCCCGATGCGCGACGCAATGCTCGGAGCTCTCCCCGTCCTCGCAGACGATCCCCCGCCTCCTCCTCCTCCCTTCCCCCCCTGGATTCCCTTCGGGGATCATCCGTTAACATTGGAACGATACGGAGAAGATTAGCATAGCCCCCGCGCAAGGATGTCACGCACACATCGAGATGTGTATACGAATTGTTTAACTGCACGCCCGACTCCTCCCGCCCCCCCCCCCCCGTGCCCCCCTTCTCCCGCGGAGAGGTTGGCCGCAGTTTCACGCCCCGCCAGCGCTTCTGCGAGGCGACGGTCCCCCGCCTTCTCGACAAAGAAGGGGAATAACGACGTAAACATAAACTGTTGGCGCTTCGCGCTGGTTTCTTGGATCCGCGCTGGGCCCCCCCCGGCGGCGCCTGGGGCGCCGCCCTTGGCCCGCTCCGCGCGCCAGGGAGGGGGGTCCAGCGCGGGTCCAAGAAAGCCGCGCGGACCTCTGACAGTTTATGCTTATGGCGTTTGTTCTTCTTCTCTCTTCGTCCTGCTGTTTTTCGAGGCCTCCCAGAAGGGGTCAGAGTAGATGGGGTCGGAGCATGGCGCCGCATCGCCGGGGCATCGGCGATGCGGCTCGATGCGGAACCCGATTTTCTCCACGCCGACGTCGCCGCTGCGTCGCCGACCTCGCCGATGCATCTTCCATTCCTCTCATTCTCCCCCTTCGCTTCTCCCACCCCCTCCCCTCCTCCCTATCCCCCCCCTACGCTCGTTCCCCTGACTGCACCTTTTTCCCCACTCCTCCCCTCAGGGGTGGACCTAGACGGTGTTTGGGCGATTTCGTGGGTTCTTTTCCTTTCGGCTTCGTCTTGCGTCAAGGGCGGATGGACGACAGAACGAGGGAAAGCGGCAACAACACGAAAACGAACAGCACCGTTCAGGTTCGATCAGCCCTGCTGTGCCGCCTTCCCGCTCTCCCGCCGCCCCCACCCGGGTAATGCCGCCTTCCCCGGGTACGGGGCGCCTAGAGGGGGGTGGATATCATGGCGGGGGCCATGATATCCCCCCAGATTTCATGGCGCCTCTTCTTGTTTCTTTACGTCCCTGGCCCCCCCGCGGGGCCGCGCACATGCCGCCGGTCATGATCTGCACCCCCCCTCTTGGACACCCCCCTCTTGGCCGCTCCCGCTCTCCCGTCGCCCCCCGCCCAGGTTATGCCGCCTTCCCCGGGTACGGGGCGCCCGCCGCCTACG